GAATTTTCGGGGAGAAATCCTGGAGAAATGATAAATCGGGGCAGTTAATTTATTGATCCCGACTCCTCTTCCCACTTGTTTTATTTTAGAGGCCATTAATCAATGAAGAAAAACACTACCGTGTCCCCCCTTTGCATCTAATACACTCTCGCTCCTTATTCATTCCTCTGGAACAAATTCCCAGCAAATATTCACCCATCGATTTGGGAGCGATGGATTTTTATGCAGGTTTGATCGCTTCCTAAGTGGTCCAAGTGATTTGTTTCCCCATCTTCTAAGCACTAAGAGAAGGGAAGAGATCCGATGGGCTCAACATCCCTGCAGTCTGTCGGTCAGTTCCCTCGCTCACTTTCTAAAAACCCCAAGATGTTCCAGGCCTTCGAGGATCAGCCTCCTGACAAAGTGACTTTGCTAGCGTTGCCCTGTGAGTGTCTTGCCTGTGGCCCAGGCAAGGACCGAGCTGACCTTGGCCACAGTCAGTGTCCTGGACCTGCAGAGGCACTGGGGATGTCCAGGCTGTAGAAGATCCCCTGGAGACCTTCTCATTTGCTCCCAGCAGCAACTGTGGAAGTTCCCCATGTTCTGGTACCTAGAGCTCTATCTCCTCACTGACTCCTTGTATCCAGTAACTCTGGTATGCCTGGCAGGGGTGAGGGCTGTCCTCAAAAGTGACAAGTCAGGTATTCTACAGCAGGCATAATGGAGGAGAAGTCCTTTACCACCTCATCTGTCTAATTGCCTAATTCCCCCAACCCTGGAAGCAGACTTCTCCTTTGGTACCCCACCACCATCCAGGCCAGGCTCAACGTAATGGATAGAGATTTGACTAGTGTACTTAGAAACATACCCTTGGCAACCCACTGAGTGGGGTTTGAACAGGCCTCCCTCATTCATTAGTGGCCCGATCTTAGGTGACCTATCTAACCTTTCAGAACCTTCTGATCACCATTTGCATGAAATGTGGGGGTTAATAATGCCTTACAGGCAGCCTGGTAGCTGGATACACTAACGTATGTGTATCCACGCAGTTATTTTGCTGGGATGAATGTGAGTTGGGCGCCCCGCCTACCCTCTCTAGCCACAGTGTAAACCAGTGGCACCAGGCTGCCCAAGCAGTTGCTGCAACTGGCATCTAAAAATCTCCATATTTTCTAGGGAAGGAAGAGGGTTGTGACTCTTTGGCACTTCCATTTCTGGGGACCAAACTCTAGGAAATAGCCTTTTTTCTTTGGTCAGTGTCTGGCAGTGTCCAGACTTCCATTGCCAGAGCTCTGCTTCTCACGGAGACCTTAGGAAAGACCAGGTCTCTCTGCAGTGAACTAGGGGAATGTGAGAGAGTTTGCTCTGTCTCCCGGGGTCCCATCAGCCACAGCAATCCTGCACACACATTAATAGAAAGGGGCCTGGAACTTCATCCCCTTCCCCGGGGACTTGTCTGAAGTCTTCGAAGACTGCCTGGTTAGCCTCGGGGTCTACAAGGCAGTGGGTTTTCCCTCGTGGTGCTATCATCAGACTTGGGTGCTATCAATCTATCCAGGAATGACGGATGACCTTGTCATAACGACGCCAGTCAAAACATTTTCGGTCCAACTCGGCTCCAACCAGGAGGGAGGCTCTCTGCCTGAGACCCGGACAAAGTCTAAACAGCGCGTTTCCCAGGCTCGGACAAAATGAGTGGTGGGAAGAGAAAACGAGACGAGCAGAAATTAGGAAAGAATGGAGATTACTTGTTCGGAATGGTGACTGTTAAATAAATCGGATTGTTTGCGGAAAGATAAAAGGACATTTTCCCCCATCTTTAAGGTGTGGACAGAACCCTGGCCAAGAGAAAGCCCTGGAGTTGGTCAGTTTCACACAGTTTGTCACTGCCCTCTGCCACAGAGTACTACGAATGCCAGAAAGCTAAGAGTTTGGGCCGAAAGGGTGGACGCCAGATCACGCGTTGGTGGAGCTGCTGCGGCTCAAAGCTCTGGGAGATGGCGGTAGGATGGGCTGAGCTTGCATCCTGTATCAAAAACCCTAGCTTTGAGTTAAAGAGGTCCGTATTTGACCTTCCAGGGCAACCCCACCTCAACCTGGCAGCTGAGGCAGGCCTGTAACTCACTGGACATTGCTAAGGCTCTAGGTGCCATCAAGGAAAGGCGGAGAATCCTGGAAGGCAAACCAGAATGCGGGTGCTTGAGCACTGGCTCCGTTGCAGCTTGCTCTCTACCCCAGCCGGGCTGGAGTCCTGCCAGGGCCTGCTTGTCCTTTGGGGACCCTTGCTCTCAAGCCCTCCTGCTCAGCTCGCTCGGGCTGCAGACTGAGGGTTTCACTCCTGCGCACACAACGCGCCCCGCCTCGCCCCCAACTTTTCTCTCTGGAGGATTTATGTTAGAGATTGCTTGGCGAGCAAGTCAACTCTGGCACCCAACAGCATTCCAGGAAAATCTGAACCCGTCTAAAAAGCAAAGTCGCTCAGGGGACTGGGTCTATACCTCCCTCCCCCACGGCGTGCGCTGCTTCCACAACAGACACCGACTGACCCAGAGGTGCCTGTCTGGTTTGTGCGTTTCCAGTGCTTTCGGCATCAGGGCACTTAGTCTGCAAATAGAAATGAGACATTGAGGACAGAAAAGGGACAGCAAGCAAGCCGGAGACGTCACGTCAAAAACAGACTTTTAAAAAGTGTGTGTGTGTGTGTGTGTGTGTGTGTGGTCGGGCAGAGGGGGTGACTGTGCCGCTGAAGAGGCGGGTGTCTGCGAGTCCAGCCCAGTTTGAACTTCCTTCCTGCGCCCCATGCCCTACAGTCCCTTGGTCTGCTCTCACCTTATCCAATTCCTCCTTCCCTCTCCTTCCCTTCCCTCTCCTTTCCTTCCCTCTCCTCTCCTTCCCCTCTTCTCTCTTCCCCTCCCCTTTTCTTCTCCCCTCCCCTCCTCTTCTTTCCCTCCTTCCCCCTCCCCTCCTCTCCCCTCTCCTCTCCTTTCCACTCTTCTCTGCTCACCCCTCTTCTCTGCTATCCTTTTCCCGTCCCTTCCCCTCTCCCCTCTCTCTTCCTGCCTCCCTCCTTCTCCCCCACTCCCTTCTCTGTCTCGCCCCCCATAACGCTCGCGCGAATACACACACACACACACACACACACACACACACACACACACACACACACACACGAACGCACACATGTATTTGGTGCTGTCGTAAAACCCACGTGTCCAGCCAGGGTACTGCCAGAGCAGAGCCGAAGCACCGAAGAGGCCGAGCTCAGCTGCCAGAGGCGGCTCCGTCCCGCGTCCTCCAGAGCTCCGGCGCTCTCAGCGGAGCTGCTCTTGCGCCCTCCGCGGGCCTCGGCGTCCTTTGCTGGCATCCCGGGAGGGCTCCAGGCTGCAGGGTCTCTAAGGCTCTCCACCTCCTCCAGCTTGGGGTCATGTAGCTCGCCCAGAGCTCCCACTCGCCACTCCTGCACCGAAACGGCCTCCTCCGGGACGCAGGGACTCCAGCTCCGGCCGTTGCTCTCGGTTCCCAGGTACGGCGGGGCTGAACTCGGGCTGCTAGCCGTGGGTCCCTCGCACTGAGAGGTTGGAGGTCTGGGGCAGGGGGCGGAGGGCGAGACTGTCCCGCCTCCCTGCGCCTGGGGCCAGCGCGGCTCGGCGCTGCGCCACTTCGCCTGGGGTTGGCTCTAGGGCGCTGGCTGAGGGCGGGGGCGACGTCCTGCCTGGAGTTGTGCCCGAAAGCGCCGGGTCTTGGGGTCCCAGTTTAGCAGGGTAGGAGCTGGGATCGCAGGCTGCGAGGCAGCTCCGGGTGCACGCAGCCACCTCTGCGCAGCACCGCGGCTTCCGAGTAAACTTTGCGCCCGGGCGGAGTTGGGAAGTGGGGGGCCGCCACGGGCTGTGCTCCACCCTTGTCCCCGTGGTCCTCCCGCACGCTCCTCTAGTCCAAGCCAGGGTCTCGCTCACGCTGCGCCCCTCCCTGCTCTCCTCTACCTCCCCAGCTCGAGGCGTCGGACATGCTGAAGCCGGGGGACCCGGGTGGCTCGGCCTTCCTCAAAGTGGACCCAGCCTACCTGCAGCACTGGCAGCAACTCTTCCCGCACGGAGGCGGCGGCGGCCCGCTCAAAGGCAGCGGGACCGCGCTTCCCCTGGGCGCTCCCCAACCCCTGCAGCCGCCGCCGCCTCCGCCGCCTCCCGAGCGCGCCGAGCCTCCTCCGGACAGCCTGAGGCCACGGCCAGCCTCGATCTCGTCCGTCTCGTCCACCCCAGCTCCTTCCTCCACCGCAGCCTCTTCTGCCTCGTCCTGCGCCGCCGCCGCCGCCGCCGCCGCGCTGGCGGGTCTCTCGGCCCTGCCGGTGGCGCAGATCCCGGTGTTCGCGCCTCTAGCTGCTGCTGCGGTGGCCGCGGAGCCTCTGCCTCCCAAGGACCTGTGCCTGGGCGCCTCCTCGGGCCCCGGGCCCGCTAAGTGCGGCGGCGGCGGCGGCAGCGCGGGGGACGGTCGTGGCGTCCCGCGTTTCCGCTGTAGCGCCGAGGAGCTGGACTATTACCTGTACGGCCAGCAGCGCATGGAAATCATCCCGCTCAACCAGCACACCAGCGACCCCAACAACCGTACGTAGCCGCAGCCCTAGCTCGCACGCTCAGTCCCGGCGAGGGCGACAGCAGGCAATGGTGGAGGAGGCGGGTAGGGTCCCAGCCGAATGACGCGGGTGAAGGGTGGGGGATCTTGGTCCAAGGCTATGTCCCGCGCCACCCAGATCACTGTGGCAAAACTTTTCTGACGGCTGAGAAGAGACGGGTGCCCGGGTGTCACCTGGGGCTTCTGCCTCTCAGCTCTCTTCGGACCCTGCTTCAGAGCCACAAGGCTTTGCTACCCCAGTGGCCCTCCACCCTCCTGCCGCCCAGTGTTCCGGGCCAGGCGGGTACTGGCAGCTGGCGGCCGGGATTGCCCGGGTGGACTCAGACGGCCCCCATAGGGACTAGAGGGTCTCTTTGAGTTTCTGAGGAAGCATGGACACCAGAGAGGTTGCTTCCTGGTCTTTATTCCACCTTTGGAGTTAACGGTGGCAGCTCGTTTTCGGGGCCCGCGATTATCGAGGATTTCTTTTTCGTTCTTTCTTTTTCTTCTTCTTTTTTCTTTTTTTGTATCAAAGGGTCAGTTTCTTCCTGCAGGTGGGTATTAAAAATAAAGCTACTATTTATTTAGAGGCCAAAGAAAAGGGGGAAAAGCCCACTAAACGAGAAGAAAATTACCAATGTCAGGATAGTGTTATTCTTTGTGGATTCTGCATTCTCCAGCAACTTTTGATCCTGAAAATGTTTGCAGCCCATGTTGCTCTATTCCTTTAAACAAACAAAAACATTTTAAAAGTTAACAGTGATGGCAATTCGTAAAAGAAACTTACTTCTTCAAGTAAACGGTGCAATGACTGGCTACATATATATCAGAACTTCACCGAACTGTCTTTATTCACAATTCCCAAAGCTTGAATTAAGCACAGTTATATTCTGATATTTTGAAACAAAATCCTCAAGGAAGGAACGTGTGTTGACGTGCATCTGTACTTCTTGGTAATTTCGAAAGTTATGATATGTTAACACCTAGGATATTGACATATGCGTTAGTTAGCTATACTCTCCAAAAAGCTTCCGGCCCAACCTTAAAGCAATGGGTGAGAGTCGCATTGAGAATAGCATTTATCCATCGAATTTCTTCAACCCATTCTTCGTTCGGCTTCTGTATAAGAAAAGTAGATAATAAATATTTACTTCTATTTTAATAAGAATGTCTATCGCACCATCAACTTCTTGGTTTCTCGCCGGGACGAAATAATTTAATTAGAAGAGTGATGTAAAGTTCCCTAGGCTGTTGCTTTGATAAACAACGACAACAGACAAATAAAACAATGGGCATTAACCTCATAATTGAGGCTTGTCACTCTTCTTGAAATAGTTGTCGTGATGGAGATAATAATTACTAACCAAAAAAACCAATTGTGTTTACCTTTTTTCCTTTCTAGCGTCCAAGGGTAAAATATGGCTTTAAGACAAGAGCTGCAATTCCAAATTTTTGTGTGTGCATTTAAAAAGACTCATGTATTTCGGGGTTGCAGAACATTTTATAAAATTGCATTGTCTTAATGGAGTTCAAAGATGTGTGTTTCCTCGTGAATTTCTTCCAGATGTTGTCTTACAACCAGTTCTTCTTAAAGTGTGAAATAGAAAACTTGGCAATAGTTCTAACTGCTAAGCAAAATATAATCATTGTAGATTGGGAACACCTTATCAAGCTTGCAGTTACTTCCCTATATGAAACCTGGGTTGGAAAGGATGCTAACCCTACCTTTGCTTTGTGCTATGTGTGATTTTTACAATGTAGCAGTGAGACTAAACGTATTTTTCACTAGAGAAAGCGTCCACCAATCAGAGAAAGAATTAGGACATATTACTAATTGACTTATGGGTATGAACCAGTTTGTTATCTAGATAGCTCCCCCACCCCATGTTAGAGAAAATGATTTGTGGTTTTATTTATTCCTATTTTTTTGTTCATCGGCTGGTGTCCTCTTTTGAGTCAAATGGATTGATTCAGTGTTCAAAGTGCAGGAGAGGAGACATAAGGACCTTAGCTTGTTACACTTCACTTTGCTTGCTAATTGAAGGGACAGTTGGGAGGAAAACGAACAACGTAGTAGCTCTGGGTAGTGGGGAGACAGCCCCTGGTCCTGGGCAAGTAAACTTGGCACTCTTAAAGCCAGACACTGTATGGTGTGTTTTAAAGATGAGCAGTGACTGGATTTAATCGAGGTAGGCATTGCAAACAAACCCGAAATGCAAAGACTTAAAACTTTTCCAGGGACTTAGAGAAAGACTGAAAACAAAAGCTTCCCCACCATATGGGGAGGGGTGAGGAGAGGAGGGGTGGAAGGGGAGGCTGAAGGAAATAATTTTAATTTCTCACGTGTAGCTTTCCCTAGCGGCCTTTCTTTCTCTTTCTTTCTTTCTTTTTTTTTTTTTACTTTTCATCATTTCTCTCTAAAAATTTTCATGAAGCGATCATTCATCATAGCATGCCTTTGTGACTTTGTATTAAAGGAGTGTCGAGTCAGTTCTCTCTCTCTCTCTCTCTCTCTCTCTCTCTCTCTCTCTGCTAGACAAAAAAGCTCCTCCTCACTTCTTGTCTTCTATTGCTCAGCCACACCTGGAGACCCTGTTGGCATGTATGACAGACACCACAGCAAATAAGCTTGTAGCTCTTTCCTATCAGATTTTCAAACACACTAAACACAAATTAGCCCAAGTGAGCTCCTTCAGTAGGTTCCTGTTATTGAGCTGCCTGTCAGTGATTGAGGTGCGCTTTCCACCCGCGCTCTCAAGACTCTCTCCCTTAAAAGTCAAGTGCTGTGTCATGTAATACACACAGTCCTTCTTTACTGCTGGGCTGCCTTATCCCCCGGGCTCCATCCCAGTGGCCTCTTCTCAAGTTCTGGGTAGCTGGGGGGTTTCCTGAGACCTAGTCAGTACTCAGGGAGGATAGTGAGAGGTAGTTATTAGGCATGCCCCACAGTATGTGCAGAGAGCGCCCCGACCCCAATCATCTCAGTAGAGTTAGCTTTTCCTAATCTTTTCGTGAAGACAGCTGGCTTCATTCTGAGACGGAGGCTGGAAGTGAACCTGTTCTGCTGTCTCTGGCATGGAGTTGGGTCACCCTCTACACCTTCTCAGTGTTGGGGGTGCTCTGTGACCCTTCTGATTTAGAAAAGCACACCCATGCAGGGAGTCGTTTTGGGAACCATGGATGTGGAAGCTTCATTGTTGGCGGTGCCAAGATTTGAGGGAAGGGACAGAGAATAGTGGAGGATTGATGTCTGTGGGGTTGCAGGGAGCTGTGCTGGGGGATTGGGAAACTGGGGAGGGTCCTGGGTACTGACTTTATTTCCCCCTCCTTTGTTGGGGGTGCTTCTTGAGAACCTGCTGGGGGGATCTGACTGCCAAGGAGACACACCCACTACTCCACTCCCATCCAGCAAGTCCGGCTGTTAACGACCAACAAGCGATTTATTATAGCTTTCAGACCTGGTCCCCTGGGGGAGGGACTTCAGCGTTAGTGTGCGGGCTTTTTATATTGTTCTATTTTTCTTTTTCTCACGTGTTGTGTGCAGGCCCAGCCCCACCTCGTAACACACATGATTTAGCTATTTCACAGCATTCTTTATCCCGAGCCCTGAAACTGAACATAGAGCCATATATTAGATTGAGGTTAGAAGAGGTGGTGACTGTTTATTTAAGGTGATAAAATGGTCCATCAGCAGTAATCTCCGTCGATATGTGCCACCAGGAGATGAAGGATGAGGGGACAAGCCACAATTAATTGCCCTATAGTTTTGTAGGAGAGAGTGGAGCCAGCCCAGACCCGCTTCGATCTCCTCTCGCTGCTCCTATTCATCATCTCTGCCTTGTATATGGCGGCCTCGCAGGGGCAGAGGGCGGCCAGGTTTATCTCTGTGCAATATTCTCTCGCCCTCACACCCTGGCGCTCTCATTTAATTTATTAATACAGTCACCAGGAGACAAATAAAATCCACATTTTCACCCTCCCTCCCTCCCTCTCTTCCTCCCTCTTTGTCTCTTTCATTGGTCCCTGGGCCGAGTAGGCAGGCTAGGATGAGAAAGCCCCGCATTTCTGTGAGCTGGGCTACCACAATGGGCTCTTCTCCCTGGCTGCCTGGTTTCTGGGCCGCCTAGATTTGCTCTGGGGTGGGTGAGGATGGTTGAGGCTAGGCAATTCCCTATTCTGGGGCGACGGACATGGTGGGTGTCCAGTGCGGCTGGGTGCATTGGCAGCTGCCACCTCTGGGAGCCCTTCCTGGTTAGAAGCTGAATGAGGCCTTTAAACCGTATCCTTCGGAGGCGAAGGCATCCAATCTGCTGAGCATCACTCTTTGTCCACACACCCTGCAGACAGGAAGGCAGGGCGGGATGGAGCCCTGGGGGGTAACTCGGAGTGAGGCTTCTGGCCGGCTTGCCGGACTGCCCTAGGACCCTCAGCCCACTTTGCCCTCCCCCGGGGGCTTCGGACTCAGGGTTGCCAGAAGGTGGCACTCCCGGGACCGATCAATGCCTCCTGGCCCCTCAGGGCTTGGCCTACAGGGCTGAGGGCTGTGACCCTGGCTGCCACGGCCCAGAAGGATTTACTGCCTGAGCGATACCCGCTCAGCAGGCTTCCAAGTTACTCCGTGGTTTCCTTAACAGAAGACTGTGGGAGCTGGAGAGACTTTGCACAGTAAAAGCCTAGTGTGGAGGCGCTCCCGGGCAAAGCTTTGTGGACAGAGCCCTAAGGACACCCACACTTGCTTCTCAGATCTTTAGCAGACAGCAAAAACCCTGAAGTGTTTTATATTTCTAGAACGAGAAGTGAAATGTTAGAAAATAGACCCATTGCCCGTTTTCACCGAATATAGGGTACATTTAAAGTGGTAAAAATATTGCACACAGTTGAAAACAAAGAAAGAAAGAAAATACTCGCACAGTAAGAAGGGTATGAAATGAAGGGTGAAGGATCGCTCTCCAACCAGAAAGCCTGCTTTGGCCTGAGGTCAGTAGGTGGGCAAGCCGGTAACCCACATCTGCCCCCTTCCCTTACTCATGGACCCTAGGCAGATTGTGCTGTAAGGGAGGCCTAGACTGCTGTAATTATCTACTCTAAAATGACACTCAAATCATCTTGAGAATAATAACTGTAAACTTGTTCAAAAATCCCTGTTTTTTAAAGGCCTGCAATGCAGTGTGGGGAGTAGTTTGAGGATCTAGCTGGCTTCTCTTTCAGTCTTTTTTATGTGGGTGTTTGTGGCTCACTGACTAGAAAACACTGTGTTTGCCAACCTGTGACTATTTGTCAATCCCGAGGAAAAAAAGTTACTTGTTCAAAACTTCCCCAGGCTCCCCTGGGACTCTGAGACAGGTGAGAAATAAATATTTTCAATCTGAGTGATTTTTTTTTGTGGCAAAAATGTTGGAGACTGTACATAACTTTGTTTTGATGGCAAATGATCAACTTTTCTGGGAGGAATATTTTTACATTTTATAAAGACTCGCATTAAGTGAACTAATTAGCATGGGCTGGATGTGGATACTTTGCAGTGAATTTAGGATATAGTCTTCTAGATTTGGGGGAACCTAAGTGTTTTCAGTACTCTACAAAATGCTGCTTTTAAAGTATGCTAGAGCAAAAAAAAAAAAAAAAAAAAAAAAGAGACCTAACAAATGGAAATGGGATTTAGACATGAGTTAAATCACACCATTCATTCCAAATATTATTGAAGTGCACTTCTTGTTTGTGGGGT